TCGCCAGCGTTGTCTCCTGGCTGCCCCCCCCAGTGCTGCTGCCCACGCTGCTGCTACCACCGCCCAGCCCCGTGCACCCCGACCCGGCAGGTGAGTGCCTCCCCCAGCATCCCCCGGTGCTCCCTCCCGGTCATGGCAACCTGGCAGAGCCGCAGCCTCGCGGGGGCTTTGCAACCCCTTCCCAAATGGTCTGCAACGCGCGTTCCTGAAGTCCTGGCCAAGTTTGCAGGCTTGGCCGGCTGTGTGTCACTGGGGGAACAACTGGGGTTTCCTTTTCCTCTCTCCGGGCTCGGAGGCAGGGAGCTGGCAAGGAGGCAGGAGGGGGGGACTTTCCACTTCAGTGCCGTTCCCAGGCTGTACTGGGCTGAGCGGCACTTGCTGAGCTGTTTCAGCAGTACAGCTCCAAGGAGAGGGATGAAACCAAAGTCTGGGACCTGGGGGATCTCACGGGTCTCCTCTTAAACCAGACTTGCAGAAAGTTTTGCGTAAATCGTCTCTGCTGCGTGATCGTGGTTTGGGGGAAAGAGGAGCCGCTGGGGCAGCGTGTGATGGGGCTCAGCTGCCCGCACAGGCACTGCCTGCGTACGGCTGGGTGCCAGGCAGAGAGAAGCACCTACTGCTTCCTCAGGGCAGAAAGCAGCTCTGTGGTTATTTATTCACTGTGCTTCCAAACAACCCCAAGAAGCGTATATGATTTATGGGACTCATAGCTAAGGAGGCCCGCGGACGTTCAAGGCAGCAAGGTGAGGAGGTTCCTCACCCCAGGCAGGAGCAGGAGCCAGCTGTCTAAAGCCATCCCGAAAGCCTGGGAAATAACTCTGGCATCTGCTGCAACTGGAGTTTCCCAGGCAGGGCTGGGCTGGGGAGGGCAGGAGGAGGCAGAGCTGGCTGCGAAGGCAGTGACCCCTGTCCCCGCCAGCTCTTGGTGCAATGCAGCACAGCAGCAGGGCCGGGGGGCCGCTGCGGCACCGTCGGCATCTGGGCTTCGGCCAAGGCACTTCTCAGCGCAGGGAACTTCCTGCTCATCTTTAACTGGGGCTTGGGGAAGAGTGGCTGGAAAGCTGCCTGGCGGAAAAGGACCTGGGGGTGCTGGTCGACAGCCGGCTGAACATGAGCCGGCAGTGTGCCCAGGTGGCCAAGGTGGCCAACGGCGTCCTGGCCTGTATCAGAAATAGTGTGGCCAGCAGGAGTAGGGAAGTGATCGTGCCCCTGTACTCGGCACTGGTGAGGCCGCACCTCGAACACTGTGTTCAGTTTTGGGCCCCTCACTACAAGAAGGAC